CACATGTCAATAAAAGGTCCAAAATCCTCATGTTGTCGGTCTTGTGTCATTGTTGTTTAATACAGTTAGTATGGGACATAATTACAGTTAATGGAGCATTAGTTTGCAAGTACTGTAAACGCAGTTGTTTGTTTGACATCATGAAAAACACTCCACTCTCCCTTTTATTAAAGAACAGATATTTGATTAATGGTACAGTCTGTAGTGTGGGAAGAAATCCCCAACAAATCCACAAGGAATTCACTTAAAAAAACAAAAAGCTTCTTCAAATGTTTACACATAAATACTGGACCAAAACGCATGAGTTCACGTCATACTGTCTTTATTTTGTAAATCCATCCTTTGATTTTGTGACATTTTAACCTCCAGTGGAAGTTATATATGATGTAATTGTTTAGACCCCGAGGTGGTGGTTCAGTGCATCCCAAGCTTCGTCACAGTCCCGGACTTTTTCACCAAAACCTCTACCTCTTTTATTGACAAAACTTTTACACATTAGCTCAATGACTGAAGACTCACGGCATATTTTAATTCAGTCAGTGTGATAAATGATTAGCTGTGATTGTGTTGAAGGGAATGTTGGGAAACATTGTGGTGCCTGGTGCTTTACCTTAGTGATAGGGATTAAAACTGTAAGTAGACTTGCCCCATGCCATATGCTATAGTGTTTGACATAAAGGAAAGTGCCAAATGTCTTCTGGTTTAGTAGAAAGGTGGGATGAGCCTGTGCTGCCCTCTAGTGGTGTTACGCAGTCATGTACTAAACTGAGGGTGATGGTTGGAAGCAGTTTTGTGTCCGTCTGAAACACTTCAGCGGGCTTTGTTGATGGATAACTGTCGTAGTATTTATTTCATCTATTATTTAACACTGGTATGGAACAGCTGCTGATGAGTCTTTGTGTATTTTAAATTGAAAACCACTAAGAGAATGAAGGAACATGTATGTTAAACTTAATGCATGTTGTTTTAGTTTTGGATCATGTATGTTGAAGCTGTTTAAAGATGAAGTAATCTAACATGTTTGAAATTGTCTTACTGATTTAACAGGTGACTTTTCTAAGCTAACAACTGCTTTCTTAACCTAAAGCTGAGTTTAAAGGCTAGATTTTGTTTGGTACCCTCACATGTAATTACATATAATGCTGTACTTTATATATATTTTACATTATTTGTAATTGTTTTGTATTGTCTAATTTTAACACTTTCTCTCAGTGTCAAATTTTTTATTGTTCTGAAACAATTTTTTAATGAATTCTTCTGCCAGTCGTTCTGATAACCTGTTGTTAGAAATGTAATTTAATTAAATTTGTTTCCTTTTTGGGACGAGTTGCTACGTTGCCTGTGCCATGTCTGTGTCTAACACTGTACAGCTGTCTCTCTGCTGTTGGTCCTGCTGTCTGTCATCATTAAAGGTGATACAGTCAATTTTTCATGCAACCCAAAATTAAAAGGCTACTGTTTTTATTTTATTTCAACCAGTTAATTACACATATAATCTGTGAAAGAATCTGCTTCCTCTGGTTCTTCCTGGTGCTCCTAACGGCATTTACAAGAAAGAAAACAACGAATCAGAGCGGAGAAACATAACTGATTGTTGAGTCTCATTCACAGGTCCCAAAGCTTCAACCCAACAACCCAAAGCGTCTGTATTTGACGATCATCTTCATCACATTTTCATCCATAAGCAGTTCATACAGTTTATTGATAACCAATAGCACCATTATCTCTCCTCCGCTCACTGGGATTCTCCAACAGGAGCAAATGTTCATAATAATAAATGTAATTTGTGTTTAACCTACCTCTCTATACACAGCGGTGTAGTGCAGGGTTGGGAGAGTTACTTTAAAAAGTAGACAGTAACCTAATGCAAGTATCACAGTATTAAAGTAACTTGATTACTTTCTGTTATTAAACATTAAATATGCAAATAAAGGCAACAGAGCACCTTTTCATACAAACATGCAGCTCAAAGATCTTCACAAAACTGAAACTGAAACAATGTGTAAAAACAATATGAACAACCATAACTAAAACTGTCCAAGGCAACAAATGAATACAATAAAACCAATAAAATGTAAAACATCATAAAATTACAGCTGCAAGCAGCGATGATCGGGCCCTCGTATTCCACGACTGCGGCCGCGTATCATGTGTGAACCACGACATGAAAATGTATGTAAATGTTGTTTATGCTGACTTAGGTGACTATTAAGCTTCTTTTTTCTTTGCTGTTTGCCTGAGAAACTCATCCAGGCTGAAGTTATTCTTTTCTGGCCCACTCAGAAGTCCATTCTCTGCATTTGACCTCAATCCCAAATACTAGGAGCAGTGAGCCAGGGACAAACAGATCTGAGCCAGTGCCTTGGTCAGGGGCATTGAGACTACCGTGGACCAGGTGGTGAAGGAATGGAGCAACAAAACAAAACAAAAATCATAAATAGCATGTAAAACAAGATAGATAGATAGATAGATAGATAGATAGATACTTTATTTATCCCGAGTGGCATACAAAATACAAACATACATTAAACTAAAAACCCTGACGTTAAAAACAGAATCAAAAATAAGATATAAAGTATTATGTATGTATATAATATATAGAATTAACAGTATAAAATAAGATTAAGAGTAGCTACAGTAAACATTGCAAACAGTAAACAGTGGAAATAAACAAACAAAGGAAGATAAAACGAAAGGGAGGGATGAATTAAAAGAGAGGGATGAATTAAAAGAGAGGGATGAATTAAAAGGGAGGGA